CACCAAATGTATTCCAGATGAGAAGTGTAGAGATGTTTGTATTTGAAGTCAAACGACCTCAGTGGTGGGATTTGGAAAGCTGACAGGAAGACCCAGAATGGCACCTACCCACCCAGCAGCCCAGCTGCAACTCTAGGCAGAAGTAACCCCAGGTGGCCCCGGTCATGCACTTCCCAGACCTAGCCTGCACTCACCTTTCCTGTCCCACACCTGCATGCTCTAGGCCAGTGGTTCTCAATCTGTGGGTCATGACCTATAAGAACTGTATTAAAGGGCCATGGCATTGGGAAGGTTGAGAACAACTGCTCTAGGCTCATCCTGGCTAGGTGAGGGCAGATGTCCCCCATAGCTGCTGGGGCTCCCCAGAGGATGCTGCTTGGAGGGCAGCCCCAGCTCCACGCTGCCAGGTGTGAAGCAAGTCCAGGAGGGCTTATGACCTTGTGAGCCAAAATAAACTCAGCTATGGGCCCCACCCAGCTCAGGGGACCCCAGAGACACTGTAAGAGTTCCAGCCATCAGGGGATGGGCTGGGGCACAATGACATGTCTGCATAGTTTCCCTTTCTTATCATGACACCATCTCCTAGCCTGTTGAATGTATTTGCCCCTACCCCTGGCCCAGGGTAAAATCCCGATTTCTTGGTTCCTTCCTGGGAGTGTGAGTGCCTGTGGGAACAGATGTCGAGCTCTGAGACAGAAGTCGTCCTCTTTCCAAGTATCAGGCTCGTTAATACTCTTCTGTTTATTTATTTTGAGACAGTTTCACTTTGTCACTCTCTGTAGAGTGCCATGATGTCATAGCTCATAGCAAGGTCCAACTCTTGGACTCAGCCTTCTGAGTAGGTAGGGCTACAGGTGTCTGCCATAACGCCTGCCTATTTTTAGAGATGGGGTCTCGATCTTGCTTAGGCTGATCTCGAACTAGTGAGCCCGCCTCAGCCTCCCAGAGTGCTGAAACTATAGGCGTGAGCCATTGCGCCTGGCCAACACCCTTCTGTTTAGATGGCTTAGTAAGCCAAGAAGTAGAGGGCAGCCTGGCGGACTAGGTGCTGCTGACCTGCGACCCAGTCACCAAAGCTGAAGATGGCATGTGGATGAAGAACAAATGTTATCCCACCGTTAAGGGCTGTCTTCCCCTTTCTATGTGCAGAATCCCAGCCTGTGTTCTGGGTGGCCCAGGCTGCTAAGGAACTGACGAGGAGAGAGACTCTGCAGAAGCTGCAGTAGACTTGAAAGGCCCTTGGCTACTGTAGCAGGTAGGAGGGACCACGCTCACAAGGGCCAGGAAATGTGGCCTGTCCTGAGGACACAGCTGGTCCAGGGCCTGACTTTGTTCAGTAGTTCCCATTAGGATGGTGGCTGCATTCCTCCACTGTTGTTTTGGAAGATGGTTTGGTGCAGACTCAAACCTGAGTGTGGTGCAGTCCACTACCTGCTCCTTGGCATTCACTGAGAGTTGAAAAGGTACAAGATACGTCTCCCATCCAAACTTCCTACGAATGTCGACACCAGCTTCATCTGTAACCACAAAAACTTGGAAACGGCCAACATGTCTTTCAATAGGAAATGGATAAATGAACTGTGGTATATCTGGATAATGGAATGAAGCCAGGAAGCCACAAAGAGACCTGGAGGAAACATAAACACACTTGTTAAGTGGCAGAAGCAAGTCTGTGCACCTCCACTCTGCACAGTCAAACCACATGACATGCTGGGACAGAGGACGCTGTGGGAGGACACAGGGTACAGCACAGAGGGTATGCAGGGCAGAGAGACCACTGGCAGCAGTGGGACCACCATCAGGCATTGTCAGAACCACAGAATGTCCTACCCCTGGGCAAACCCTGGATATGCCCTGGGGATCCCCCAGCCCTGACCCCACACGCTGTTCCTATATCTTGTCTTGAAAACAGTACAAAAAACTCTCAATGGACATGAAACCCACTCATGCTATTACATGAAATTGCAACGGTCTGTTTCTCAAAAATTAAAAGGAATAAAATTTTATTAAGATTCAATAGTTAATACAGTTTTGAACATTTATAAAAAATCTGTCTAAAATTTATTATTTACTTATGCATAAGATTTCTTTTGGATGTCATTAAGTTGAAAATTCTTGATCATTGATTTCTCTACCATGTTGAGCATAAACTCTGTAATAAAAATCTATGCTCAGGGAAGCAAGTTCAAGTTTCCTATTAAAAATTTATTAAAAAGATTTGGAACAGTTGCATAAATTGTTGGCAACCAAGTCCCACAGAGATGTCCCTGCTTATTTTGTACTGATCACACGCCACTGGTCTATCCTGGCAGCCCTTCCCAGTACCATCTCCAAGGGGAGACCAGGAGCTGCTCCAGCCAGGGCTCCCAGGACATAGGCTAGTTGGTAACCATGGAGTCCAGACCTGAGGCTGGGCCAGGCCCCTCAAGGGACTCCCAGGGACCCCTGGCTGCTGTGCAAAGGCAGCTAGGGTAGGCAAGAGGGTCAAATTCTAAAGCCGCCAGTATGTTATGTCCTGGAGTGGGGATGTAGGGTCTCACTGTTCCACTAGGAGCTAGGGACCCCACTCCTCTGCCTCGGAGGGGAAGCCCCCACTGGTTCCTGACCTCCCCTGGGGGCTCTTCTCTCTGAAATTCCCTAAAAAGGTTCTGTAGGACACATGAGGGTACTGTATTTCGACTTTAAGAGCCTCTGAGTACAATTTTAAGCTTCCTGCCAAGTCAGGAGGGACTCGGATAAGAGCATAACAAGGGGTCACCTACGTCTGAGTGGGACATGGCTCGTGGCTTACTGTAATGACCAGATCTGCTAACTACAGATGTCTGTGTCTCACTGCAAATGAGACAAAGCCCAAGCCCTCTGAGGAGGAAACCACTGCTGAAAAGAAAACTAGTGATATTCCTCAGCCCTTCCCAGGAGACTTCAAAAAAAAATAAAGCTCTTATTTGGCTCCCTCCTAAACAGCATACACTATGTCTCCTTGTATATTGTGTCCATGTAAACTAAATTGCAGGACACTTTCACTATCTTTGGGATACCCACGCGTGAATCTACTTTTATCATTCTGCCGAGTCTGGATGTGGCTCACATGCCTGCCTCCTTGCCCAGGCCTCATCAGACTGTGGATCTCGGGGGACCACGGGAGGGCAGGTGAGGAGACTGCCTGCTAACTGGCTCTGCAAATAACCTAGTGAGGACCAAGAACGGTATGTGGGGTAGGAGCTGCTAGATACCCACCTTCTGGTTTGTTCCTTCCAATCCCCTGGCTGTTGTTTTGCTGTAATTTGGCGGGAGCACCCAGGCCCTGAGGCTCCTGGCTGACCCTGCTGGGGCCAAGAGGGAAGGGGGGGCCACGAGGGAAGGGTACCCAGCCCATCAGAGCCTGAGCCTCAAGGCACCGTGAGAGCTGTGCTCTGCCGAGCTCAGGGAAGGTCAAACCGGGATTAGAAGAGGACATGCCCCTGCAACCACATGTGCAGACAAAGGATTAAGGCGGGGAGGGTGCAAGACCAGCAGCCAGACACCTGTTTCTTAGGGCCTTAGCAATCAGAAATAATCACTGAAAAAGAACTGAGAATAATAATGCAAGCAGATAATTCTTAACACTTATGTTTTAAGAAGTATCAGCCTATGAGCAAGCCTGTTTCTTATGTTTGAAGCTGAAGTCCTGTGATCATTTACACTCATGATTCTGCTGTTCTCGTTTCTGCCTTTTTATGTAGACCCATCATTATAAATTTCTCCCCTTTTTGTTTCATAGAAAAAAATTGGGCTAGAAAACATGGATGTTAATTATTGCTGTTGTGGGCAGTGTACATTTACTAGCCTCAGTGAGAAGAAGCCAAGGACTGGTTGTGGTTCTAGGCTCTGTCTGCCTAAGCACTGCTCCCTGGTCCACATATCTCAGGAGTAGGGTGGGCTGACCATTTTAGCCATGATGTGGAAAAGGCTGACCTGAGGCTGAAGCCAAGGGAGAAGGGATAAACTACAAGAGGACTCACCCAGGACGTCTGAGCGTCTGGCGAGCACCTGGACCCCACAGGACCTGAAGCTCCATCCAGGACTTCTCAGAAGAGTCGACACCTGGAGACAAGCCCACTGGGCTATGATTCTGCCATTTACAGCTGAAAAGAGTGTAAATAATACATGCCTTAGCCCAGGAGTCCTCAAACTATGGCCCGCGGGCCACATGCAGCCCGCCTAGGACATTTATCTGCCCCGCTGGGTGTTTCTGCCGCCACTGCCTGTCCTGCTTAGCAGCCAACTTGCCCCGGGGCCTGCAGTCCGGCCCTCCAATGGTCTGAGGGCCAGTTAAAAAGTTTGAGGACCCCTGCCTTAGCCTAACACTAAACTTTAATTTGGTAATTAGCCCAGAAAACGGAAGGTTTGCTGTGCTGATCTCAAGTTGGCTGAAGCAGGATTTCAGTAATGACATCTTCAAAGCAAAACTCACCCTGGCTCAAGCCCAGCGGCCAGGTGCTCTCCACACAGCAGCACCGGGGCAGCAGATGCCACACTCTGGACATGGCCTGACTCTGGGCTTCCCCCACCCACAGCCCATACTCAGTAGGGATCATGCTGTAGAGTGCACGTTCTGTCCAGAAACCTGGAACACCAGTCCTGGGAATAGGCTGAGACCTGGAACACCAGACCGGGGGATAGGCAGAGACTTTGAACATCAGGTTTGGGGACAGGCTGAGACCTAGAACACCAGACCAGGGGACGATGGGCTGAGACCTCAAACACCAGGCCTGGGGATAGGGTGTGCAACTGCAGTGAGCTCCGGGGTTGGGGCTACCTCTGGGCCTTAGTGTCCCAGGTCTGATTTCATATATCTCATAATTAGAAACAAAGATCTTTTGTATTCTCAAAGTTTTGAGTTAGTCTTTTAGAAAATGCCTCCCTGGTTATGACTGTCTTGGAGAACGAGCTGTCGGACGGGAGAGAAGGCCGAGCATTGGCAGCTGCAGCACCCACAGAACTTACAAAAAGGACTTTTATTGAACATTTGGCGGGTGGGATATAAAACAGACACACAGAAATTTTACATAAGACTCTCAAAGCAGTTAATGCCGCCCCAGAGAGACACCCCCTTTATGCCTGACACCCAGTGGGGGATGCCCGATGGCAGTCAGGCTGCTTGTGGGCCCCACAGGTCACAGTCACTCTGAAACAGTGGGGCCCACCTGGCTGCATGTTCCGTGCACGTGTGTGCTGCTCTGAGTGTACAAGAATCATCTCAGACTCTGATGGCTTTGCTGTGAAAGGCAGGACAAGAGCCCAGTTGTTGCCACAGGACCGTCTAGCCAGTCTTTGCCCACAGATGTGCTGGTACATAGGGGGCTCGCATGCCGCCCACCCGCTCCAGGCCCTGTGGCACTGCAGCTCTTTGGCACAGCACCAACTCCCCGTGCACGCTGTTGCTTACAAAAGTAGACTTTCCTGTAGTAAAACTTCTTAAAAACACCCATTTCTCAGGAAAATAACGTGTTTCTGTATGTGGAGATCTACAAAATATACACGTCTTTCTGGAGGAGAGGAAGCCGAGTGGAGGCTGGGCACGGCTGGTACACGCCTCCAGCCTGGCTGCTGGGATGGTGTCACATGAAGTCGTTCAGCTCCGCCTCAAGTGCGGCTGCCATCTCGTCCGCCTCTGAGCTGCTGGCCTCGTCCTCATTGCTGGACTCCCTACTGGACTCGCTGGCGTCGTCCTCGTTCAGCTTCCTCTTATGGCCTCTGAAGAGAAGCAAATCCAGTATTAGATGCGGGGGCTCTGACACTGGCGTGGGGGTGGGGCTCAGACAGGACACTGGGGGGGCCCTCAGACACATCCTGAGAAATCCCTTTAAAAGGCAAACCCCAAGGTGAGAGCCGGCTGTCAGGAACCAGCACATGCCCCGCTAGTCACAGCAGCACACACCACAGAGCTAGCCAAGCACAGTCCCTACCCCCACATGCTGGCAGTCCTGGATCTGTGGGGTCATTTTATAAGCTACACATCCTACTGGTCCAAATTTTAAATGAATTCATCATTTTTATTCCAGCTGGAATAAATATTTTTTACAGAAAAAAAGTTTACTTTTAATTGTCATACAAAAGTGAGGAGGTGGTTAGATTCAAAACTGATGAAAAAGCAGAATTTCTTAAATTAGTGTCTGAAAACAGACTGTAAAGGAATACAAGTAACGATGATGAAAATGGAGTTTAATTTCCCCACTAAGGCAACGGTGGTACAAAGGAGGTTCAGGGTTTTCAAGGAAATCACCAAACACCAGGATGAAGGGCCAGAGTCCACAGAATGAGCCTGTGGAAGAGCAGTGGCCTCAGAGGCACCTTCCCTTGGGCCATGTCCTGCCCATTTCTGACTGTGCCCCACAGGCAGTGAGTACCAGTGACAGCAGCCAGGGCTCCAGTAGCCACCACCGTGTCCTGGTCTTCACCCTGGGAGGTCTGCAGTCAGTGTCTGTTCTCTGCCGTGAGCCTCTAGCAGCTTGCACACACAGACACACGAGTGAGCTGTAGTTGTACCTTAACGCAACCCATGGCTGCTGAACAAGGCTAAGCCCTTCTGCTCCTCTTGGCACCTGCGGTGGGCTGGTTTGCCATGCACTTTCCTGGATCAAGGGTCTGTAGGAGATTTGGCCCATGGTTTTTAGGCTGTGACCTGCCCGTGCTCCCTCTAACAGGTCCATTCCATATAAAGAGCTCCTTTCAGAGATGTGCCAGGCACATTTCCTTCCAGCCTCTGGGTATCTTTTCATTGTCTTAACAGTTTTCTTTTTGTGAGGCAGAAGTTGTTTTCTTTTATGGCTAGAACTTTTACTATCGTAACTAAAAAATCATTGTGTCAAGCAGTCGCAAAGATTTTGTCATCTTCTGAAAGCTTCAGTTTTATACTTAGGTCTACAAAGAGATTTGAAAAAGTTTGTGGAAAGTAGAATTAAAAGATAAAAATAAAAACAAACTTTCTTTCTCAACATAAACTCCATCAAATCAGGACACTCTGACGTGGTGACATCAGCCATTTATTCCCTTCCCAAAGCACCGAAGGTCTTGGCAACTTCACTGTGACTGCAGCCTCTTCCACATTACTAACAAAAGGGCGTCCTCAACAGATGCACAGGAGCCAATGGAGTGCACCTGGTGACACCTATGGTCACTCACCAGCTGCCCTGTGATGGGAGGAGGGGCAGAGGTGCTGTGGGGGAGCAGGGCCCTCTTGTGAAGTTCTCCTGGCATTTCCTGCCAGCACTTTGGCGAACAACTCTCATGACCAGTAAATGCTACTGGACCTCTAGACAAGTGCCTCTAGCAAAATGCCTCCAACATCTCCCAAACCTCTGGCCACGACCTTGCTCTTCCTTGGCCCACTTTACTGCCAGACACATCCATCTCTCAGCAGCTGCTGGCTCAAATGTGCTGTACTCAGGGTCCTTCTGATAAAGCCACCTTCCATTTCCTGCTACAATTCCTCAGAGAAACACTTCAGGCTACTGGTCCCACTTGTTCACGATTCACACTCAAGGCCTGCTCTTGTCTGACACCAAACTGTGTGAGCTGAGCCAGGCAAGCTGTCTATGCTGACTTGAGGGTCTCTTCAATTAGAGCAGCACCAAGCAGACTGTCTCCTTGCATGCTGGTGAGGATGGCCTGCAGTGGGCTTCACCTCCACAGTGCTGTGGTGTTGGGACACATGCTGGTTTTCGTCCATGGCCTCTACCTCCTAACTCTCACAGTCAAAATGCTGGAGAGGTTTAGGCCTCAGGACACAGCTCTCTCTGACCTTCTCTTGTCCTCCCTTCACCTGCCCAAGGCAGGATTCTGGGACTGTGCTCCAAAGACCCTCATCCCAAAGGGCCCTGACCACACCCAAAGGACACTGTAGAGTGGCCAGGGAGCATGCTGCAGGCGGCCTTGCTGGCTCAGATCACACGGCTCTGTGCACCTGGGTCTGTGGGGTGTCAGGCCTACATAATGAAGTCTACATGGGTGTTTCTACATGGGTGTCAGGCCTATATAATGAAGCGTGCTGTGCCCCTTCCCCACGTTGCTCCCCTCCCCCAATCTCTTCACTGCACCCTTTGTGATGCCTGTGGTAACACACTACAGAAGCAAGAGTGAGGTCCTTGAGCTCTGCTGCTCCAGCAAAAAAATGGAGCCCAAAGAGGGGTCATGGGAACCCCCATCTGAAGCCAGTAGGTCAGAAGCTCCAGAGGCCTGGAACTGAGATTGGTGGAAAGCAAGGGCACGTCTTGGGGACCCGACATAGTCTCTGGGTAGACAGTGTCAGACCCAAAGCAGGGAAGTCAGCTGCTTGTGTGGGGCAGCCACGTCTGATCACGGGGTCTTTTGTGCTGGCTGTAGCGGTGTTCAGAGGAAGGTGGTTTCAAGAGTTTCCTAAAGCAGACACCTTACTGAGTCGACCTGTGAACTGCTCACCTCTTCCTGGTTTTGATCTCTGTGCATGCGCATCTAAGACTAGTCAGATGGGCTGGCAGGAGTGCGACAGACCCAGCATGGCTTCCACACACTAGCTCCACTTGGGTCTTCCAACCTCATAACTGGGCACTGTCAAGTGTTAACACCAACTTCCTGTCGCTCAAATGCAGCAGTACCATTCTGATGACTAACCTGGAACTTTAAAGTTCAGTCACAAACTGTCACTTAGTTTAGGAACCAACTCCCATGTTAATCTGAAACATCAACTGCGATGTGATGAGCTCCAACAGGCATCCCTCTCCACAATGCCACGCCAAGTTCCTGCCACCCAAGTGCGTGGCTGGAGCCTTGGGGGCCTCCCTCCCCAGCTGACAGCATAGCGGCTTGTCTTGGCTCCAAGTGTGGAGGCCTCCTGTTTTGTCAAGCATCCACTTTTACTAAAAACAGCTAAAGTGCCTAAAAAAGAGAAGGGAAAGTAAAAATACAGCATTTCTGCACTTATCCCTCACTTTGCTGAAGGTCGATCTGATTTTTTAAAAGACAGTTCAGAGTTGTGTGGGCGGTACGAGGAATATTCAAACTTGGAATATTGTTTCATGCCACAGAGGCAGCTGAAAAACCACATTTCAAATAAACAAGAGAGCTATTTCTTAAAATAGATACTTCAGTGATCCCAGGACATCTGAGATGTGGGTCCAACCTGCTGGTGCTGCATGGGCTCTGCCACAAGCAGGTCTCCCAGGAACCACAGTGGTGATGCTGTGTGAGGGCCAGTCGGATGGGGCGCCATTTCCTTCAGCATCCCTAAGAGACCTGCGAGGCAGGCACTACCACTCCCCTCCGACATTGAGGAGGCCAGCGTCTCACAGACCAGGATCTGGATCCCATACAATTTCTGTTAAGAGGCTCAGAAAAAGGGTTTTCATACATTTTAGAAATAAAGGGCCTTTGAGTCAGGCCCAGTGGCTTACAACCTGAGGTCTCAGCACTCTGGGAGGCTGAGGTGGGAGATCCCTTGAGCCCAAGAGTAAGAGGTTGCCATGAGCTGTGATGTTGCCAAGGCACTCTACCCAGGGCAACAGATTGAGACTATCTCATTAAAAAAAAAAAAAATAGAAATAGAAATAAAGGACTTTTACTGAAATACAGGGGTGGACATTTTGCATGAGGGCAAGGAGAAGCAGGGGCCAGTGCATCCTCCTCCCAGAGCCCATCCAGCCCTGTGGCCTCATGGCTTTGCAGTCACGTGTGTAAAGACAGTACTAGGGACAACTTGGATCCTTTATTCTTCATTAGACAGTGTTTGGAGCACAGTATTTTAAAACACAAATGAATAGGCTGGGCGCCTGTATCTCAAGTGGCTAAGGCACCAGCCACATATACCTAAGGTGGCGGGTTCGAATCCAGCCTGGGCCCACCAAACAACAATGACGGCTACAACCAAAAAATAGCCAGGCATTGTGGTAGGCGCCTGTGGTCCCAGCTACTTGGGAGGCTGAGGCAGGAGACTTGCTTGAGCCCAGGAGTTGGAGGCCACTGTGAGCTGTAATGCCACGGCACTCTACCTAGGCAGACAGCTTGAGGCTCTGTCTCGAACAAACAAACAAACAAACAAAAAACACAAATGAATAGTAGTAATTGAAAATTACCTCAAATATAAGAAGCAGCCACAAGCCTTGGCTGGTAAATGCCTGCAAGTGACGGTGGCTTCACACCCTCTTAGGATAATAGGACAGATGTGTCTTTTGTCATTACAACTAGCTGTACAGCTCCCCAGAGAAATATTAACACATTAATTTTGGAAAAATTTCTAGGCTCAACACCAGTAGCACAGCAGTTTCAGTGCCAACCATATACACCGAGTCTGACAGGTTTGAAACTGGCCCAAGTCAGTTAAACAATGACAACTGCAACAAAAAATAGCTGGGCGTTGTGGCAGGCGCCTGTAGTCCCAGCTGCTTGGGAGGCCGAGGCAAAAGAATCACTTGAGTCCAAGAGTTTGAGGTTGCCATGAGCTGGGACGCCAAAGCACTCTACTATGAGTGAGACTATGTCTCAAAAAAAATTTCTTTTTTAAAAGTTTGAAAATGTATCTCAAATCCAATGTAGAATAAAGCAAGAACATGGATGTGAATAGTGGATATGCGAGCCCCAACTCCCAGTGCTGTCACAGTGCGCAGCCTTTAGTTTGCTCCAGAAAGGCACACTCAGTGTGCACAGCAGACACACAGACTAGAGTTCTATACCAGCACCAGCCTCAGGAGGATCAAACACTCATGAAGGAGACATGTTTCAAGTTGTGGGTCACAACCAGGCTTATCTGTCTGGTGGAAGGAGGGAACATCAAGTGCACACAGAGCAAGGTCACTTGACTGAGTGACAGTGCTGGGGCTGCATGTGGCCTGTGCTGTGCCAAGTGGCCTGCTTTTCAGACACGCTCACGGGGTAAGGCGAGTGCAGGCACCATGGGCACTCCCTGATGTCAGCAGTAGGGGACCTGCTGGATGCCATATAAAATGTCCTTTACTTCTAGTGATACTTTTGTTTTAAATTGTTTTCTCTGATATTAGTTGTCAATTTAGTTTTTCTGTGGTTGCTATTTGATTTTTTTTTTTTTCCCGCAGTTTTTGGCTGGGGCCGGAATTGAACCCGCCACCTCTGGTATATGGGGCCAGCGCTCTACTCCTTTGACCACAGGCACCACCCTGATAAGTATTTTTTTTTTAAATCACTTTACTTTCAATCTATTTGTATGTTTGAAGTGAAAGTGTGCATCCTATAAATAGTACTAGGTTGTGTTGTTAATCAGCCCACCAATTCCTGCCTTTGGATGGGATTACTTAGCTTCTCACATTTAATGTGGATGATATCCTTAACTTTATGTCTGCCATTTTACTTTTTGTTCTTTCTTTGTATTGTATATATTTTATTCATGTTCCCCTTTCATGGCTTTCTTTTTAATCAGATGAATATCCCCTAATGTAACATTTTAGAGATTTTTTCCCCACTACATATTTTTTGAGCTATTGCCTTAGTTATTAATTTTTTTTTTTTTTTTTTTTTTTTTTTTGCAGTTTTTGGCTGGGGCTGGGTTTGAACCTGCCACCTCTAGCATATGGGGCCGGCGCCCTACTCCTTGAGCCACAGGTGCCTCCCAAGCTATTTCCTTAGTGGTTGCCCTAGGGCTTACCATAAATATCTTACACGATCAGATTTACACTAGCTTAACTCCAGTTAAGAGACACAGCACCAATTCTACAGAGCTCCATCTCATCCCCACTTCTGTGCTATCACCATTAGGATGTCACCTCTGCCTGCCAAAGAGCCAGCACCACATTGCTGCAATCCTGAGTCTCCATCATTCTCTGTCTCCTAGAGAAGCTGAGGGAGGAAAGGGGAGCACACACTCAGCGCTGGTTACATCAACCTGCTCACTCACCATTTCTGGCTCGCCTCACTCCTTCCTGCAGATCATTCACCATCTGTTGTCATTCCCTTATCCAAGACAGCTCCCTGCCCACCTATCTCCTCTGGCAAACATACTGCATTTCTATACATTATGGGCCCAACAAAGCAACCGCACACAACCAGTTTTATGCCATAAAACCGTATTTCTTTTTGTATCAATTAAGAGAAGGGGAGAAACATGTATTCAAACCGTCCTGTGTAACTACATAATTGCTAAGTGCTCTTTATTTGTTCACGTGGCTTCAGATCTCCATCTAGGCCCACATGTTTCAGCTTGACAAGCTTCCCCTACTATTTTTGGTCAGGTAACTAGCAGTGAATTCTCAGTTTTTATCTGGGAAAGGCTTGCCTTCACTTTTGAGATAGTTTTGCTGGATACAGAAGTCTTTGTTGACAGTTTTTTCCGAGCCTTTGTATATGCACATTCTCTCTTGCCGATGTCCACAGGTCCTGATGAGCTCCACAGCACCCTCCTGCCCTGGTGGGGTCTCTCTTAGGCACACGGCCACTGGAGCCTGCTGGCGTCTCAAAACAATGCGTCTGCGTGTGGATCTTTGCGCTCATCCTACCTGCAGTTTATTGAGCTTTTGGGACATAATGTTCTCTATTCAACTTGATAGGTTTTTAGCCATTATTTCTTCAAATATTTTTTTTTTTCTCTCTGAAAGAATACTTGCTTGATTAATTACCAAAGATGAACAACTTCAACATGTTAGCATCTGGAGCCTTACTGGGCAGCGTCAGTGTGTGCATAAGCATGGAAGCAGATGAATCTCCCAGATGAAAAGAGGCAGAAGCTTGGGAAGAGCTGTGCTGTCCAAAGTCAGCAGGGCAGGCCGATAGTACATCCCATGAAGAGCTGGGGTCAGTAACTGGGTGCTTGTGTCAGGAGGTTGAGCCTTTAAGGTCCAGTGTAACAGACAGGACAGGCCTAAAATCTCTAATGTTCAGAGAACAGGCTTTGGCTGTCATCACTGTCAAAAAATGATGGACACTACCACTTGCATTGTCTCGACTTCAATGTGACAGTCACCAGCAACCATGTGCTGTGTCTTTTGGCAGTTAATTAAATGTTTCACTTCTCCACTAGCCTTGACACGGAGAGTGGCCTTCTGTGAGCTACCTTAGCTACTGTGTCACGAGTGAGAATAATCTCGCTGAGAAGCAGGCTGAGCACCAGATCTACGTGGTGGTGACAGTGTGCTTATGGGTATCTTGAACGTTTTGAAAAGACGTTGTTTGGGGAGATGCTTTTCAAAGGCATACTTGATTTTTTATCTTAAAGATTTACCTTACTGAATGAAAGTGCCCAGAAAACTGCCACACGCACGCATACAGCAGGCATCTGATGTTTGCCAACTTCAGAGAACAAATCGATTCTTAGTACACAAGTAAAAAAATACAACTTTCCTCCTGTTAAAACTCATTTTCAAGCTCAAGTGATATTAAGATTCTGCAGAACAGCTTGGCAGTGCAGAATTAGCATGATGTGCTGCCAGCCAGAGCACACATGTGAAAACCCAGCCTGATTTCAGTGTGGAATGTGTTGTCATACATGGCTAAGAATCACCGTGAAACCTAAAAGTAAACTAGAAAACTAAAACATACCTTACCTGATTTCAAATAAAAATACTGGAAAAAAATTTCAAAAACCCACACTCTGGTTCTGTTGTCTGTAAACAGGGATAAGATGTAAGGAGACAGCCACATACCCCAAATACCTTGGTAAAGGAAGGAGGTCCCTAACCTTGAGAGTGACAGAAATTAACAGCTGACTAGAGCATGTGAGCTGTGCACCCACACTGTCTACTATGCACAGAGAAGTCCATACAAAAGCTCCTCTGCGAGTAATGTGCATCATGGGAAAGGAGAGATGCGGAGTGGGGCAGGTGGTTTAAGGTGAGCCCTGACCAAAGATGCTGGTCCTGTGACCATGGAAGTCAGCTCTGTGCTGGGTCTTGGTAAAGCAAGGCTGAATCTGACAAAATCTTTTCATCTAAAATTCTAAAACCACAAAAGTCAAACAAGCCCATAAAACACAGCAGAATGACCAAACTGAGGCTTCCTGGCCCTAATTACAGAGTGGATCGGCACAGTGATGCGATGCCCACCTGGGGAAGGCCTGCTTCTGAGCTTCCTCCTACCACCAGAACAGCTGTGAACGCAATGGTTTGTAAGTGTTACATAATCTCTTATTTGATGAGCGTGATCTCTGCCTTCTGCCTGTAGGCTTCTCTTCTTCCCTTCCCATTCTGTTTCCTGTGAAAATGGTACATCCCAAATCTTACTAGCACCAACCCAATACAGAAGCCAGAACAAGAAGGCAGTGCCCATTTTGTTTATTGATGAGACTCAATGCACATAGCTGGCCCTGAACACACGTGTGAACTGCATGGGCATACCTACACATGGAATTTCTTCTGTGTCTGACCCTAGACAGCAAGACCACCCCTCCTGCTCTCCAGCCTCCTGACACTGAGACCAGGACGGAGACTTTGTGAGGATCCACCTCCATGTGATGACAGTAAAGGTATCTTCCCTTCCTCATCTTAATGTTTTCTTCCCCATATTTCTTAAGTATGTGTTAATTGACTACGTTACTGGTGAGGCTTCTGGTCAACAGCAGGGTATTGGCAATTAAGTTCTGGGGGCACTAAAAGTCACCCAGTTCAACTACCAGGAAGTTGGTGCCCCAGCCTCTGCATAAGTACTAAGGAAGTCAGACTAGGCAGGAGCCTGCGCTGCCCCCGCCCTCCTCCTCACCCCACCCTACCCCACCCTCACCTGACCCCTTTGGCCCCACCCTTACCTAGTCCCACGGGCTGAGTTCCTTTCGCTGGGGGAGGATGCCCCTGCTGCCAGCCCCTTCCGGGCCCCCGCTGTCCTGGCCTGCCGCCGGCCCTCCAGCTCCTCCTCCTGCTCTCCTGGCTGCTTCTTCTCACTGTCGCTGTCGTCGCTGCCCTCGCCCAGGATGTCATCCACCTGCCAAAGGGAGAGTGGGGCTACAGACTCTGCTGATGTCCTGGGAACACACCCACCCCACCCGCAGGCACCGGCCACATGCTCAATCCATGATTCTCAGACACGGATTGACAGCCAGCCCTAGAGGAATGAGGGCACTAAGCTGGGGACCCACCTAGCCCAGAGCATCCCTCCAGCAGAGGCGAGGCTGTTTTCCATATACAGGCGGGCTTTATGGTGAGTACCCAGGGTAGGCATTTAAAGTTCACCTCAGTGAGGCTGGCAGGTTCCAGCCTGGCCGGGGCCTGCTAAACAATGACAACTGTGACCAAAAAAACAAAAACAAAAACCGGGTGTTGTGGTGGGCACCTGTAGTCCCAGCTACTAGGGAGGCTGAAGCAAGAAAATCGCTTAAGCCCAAGAGTTTCAGGTTGCTGTGAGCTGTGATGCTACGGCACTCTACCAAGGGCAACATAGTGAAACTCTTGTCTCAAAAAAGTTCACTTTAGCGAGTCATCCCTCAACCTATTCACATGGATTTCCAGGAGGGAACCACGGTCCTCAGTCTCCAGAACTTTGGAGGGGCAGAGACCCCACAGAGCCCCAGGGAGGAGCTGCACTGCTTGTTTTCCCTGGGGGAGGGAATGAGGATGACCAGGACCCCCCCTCCCCAGGTGTGGGTGGAGCTTGAAAGCCCTCACAGCAGAGGCCAAGCCTAGCCCCAGCTGCTCCCTACTAAGTACCCTGTGGATGGCTGTGAAGTTTCAGGGCTATCATGTGGCAGGTCAGCCAATGGTCAGCAATTGGGGATCCCCTCTCAGAGCACAGGTGCAGGGAGGGCATGAGGGCCTGAGAAAGGTAGGACACCAGGGCCACTCCAGTCTCCCTCAAAGTTAAAGTTGATGGCCACAGGGAAGCTGCAGTGACTTAGCCACCCTGAAGAAGCCTCAACACGAGGGCCCTAGCATATCCCCTGAAAAGGGCCTCAGACGTCCTTGCCAGCACCTGAGCTTGGTGGACCCTGAGCTTGGTGGACCCTTAACAAATGTGCGTGCTCACCCTGACAATCGTCTGAAGGTCTAGAGACACACTTTGTACAGGCTGAATCACAGGTACCCGTCGAAATCTGAATATATCTACACTGTGCTTAAATTTTTTTCTCCCTCACTCTGCTTGACTCACAAAAACACAGTAAAAGCTCCACAGCTGACCGCCTCCTTCACTGACCAGGATGTGCGGCATCACACGTGTCAGTGTAGTGGCCTTGTTCCTTCTGGTGACCACCTCCGTGAGTTGACAATTTGGTACAGTCCCTCAGGTGGTCAGCTTACAGAGATTCTACTGTATTTCAGAATGACATGTATTTTTCCAGACTATTCTTGTGTGAAAAAGTCTGTACTTTTTGAACAAGTTACCTGAACTACAGAAGCTCCTCAACTCATCACAGTTTGGTCCTGACGAGCTCATAGACAAGGTGAAAATGTATCTCACGCAACTGACCAACTGAACAGCACAGCCTTGCCTACTTCGAATATACTCAAAACATTTACATTATCCCACAGCGGGCAAAATCATCTAGCACAAAGCCTACTATATAATAACATTACAAAAAGTTTTAAATTTGAAATACAGATGCAACACTTTCACACCACTGTAGCATCACAATATTTTGGTGGCTCAGGCCTGTAATCTCAAGACTCTAGGAGGTTAAGACAATAGGACTGCTTGAGGCCAGAAGTTCTAGACACCATCTCTCCAAAAAACAAAAAAATTACCCTGGCATTGTGGTGGGCACCTGTAGTTTCAGCCACTGGGGAGGCTGAGGCAGGAGGATCTCTTGAGCCCAGGAGTTAGAGATCACTATGAGGTAGGCTGATGCCATGGCACTTTAGCTTGGGATAGGGTAAGTCCCTGTCTCAAAACAAAACATAATAACCACCCCCCCCCCAAAAAAAGAGAAACCACACAAAAAACCAACAAAAAACCCTCTTAGCAGCACTTTGACCTCTGTGTGAGAAAAGGGAGTATGGGGCCAGGGATAAAGAGGAAGGAGAAGGGATGGAAGCAGCAAGGTGCAAAGGCCAACATAAGCATGAAGAGCAGATGCAGCAGATGGTGACGCTGATGGGGGCAGAGGAGACGCCAGCCTGAGAGGCTCCGTGAACCAGACCACCTAGGGGTGCTGGGGAGGGGGTGGCATGTCTGCAGGACTACAGCCCTGGTAGGGTCCCAGCACTTGCTCCTCTTCACCTTCCCATTATCATGTGAAAACCTGGAAGAGGAGGTCTGACAAACAGGGGTGCGGAGTCCTGCCCTTGCAGAAATTAATTTGTTACAAAAATTGGTTGCAATTAGAGATGGGTACATGTATGTATGTGCAGAAACACTCATGAATGAATTATTCCAAACCAGCTTCAGCAGATGGACAGATGCAAACCCTCTACTGAGAAGCCATCATTCAAACCACCAATTACATGAATTATAAGCTCTAGCCTCAAGAACACATTTCTATTGAACCTGAAATTACATCACACAAAAGGTATTTGGAGCCAACATAATAAATGTATTTCTCTCCTTGGCCCAAAGAGCAAATGTCCCAGTCATTCTCTATGATATGCTCTATTTTCTGCTAATAAAATTGAAAGCATTTATAGGTACATTAAAGTTAAATTTCTGCTCCAGTGATGTTTGGAAACAGGGAATAGAACAGAAGGGTCTACCCCAGACTCAAGAGTGGGTGTCCATGGTCCATCTCAGTGGCTAAAAGACACACCTGGAGGTGGCAGGCAGTGCTCAGGCCTCCTGCATGCTGCACATAGAACATTACTGGAGAGAGAAACTCTGGACACAGCTTGTGCTGGCCCTGGAGTCAGTCCAGAGGCACAGGAGAGGCCCCTGTGGACCGGGAAGGACCAGCTACCTCCATGCTTGGCCCAGGGTGCAGCGCTCAGCAGGATGGGGGGGGGGCAGCCTTGGGGTGAAGGCCTGCATCCTCCACTCACAGTGTGCCAGGAGGACTGAGCTCTGGGAAGGGACAGGACATGCAGGCCCAAGACCCTGTCTGGAAGACCCTGTTCCCTGTGCTCAGATTCCCAAAAACAGAAACTGTTTTTCTGAGCTGTTAAGTGTGTGGTAATGCGCTATGTGGTACTGAGGCTAATACGGTGTTGTTTAAGAGGAATGATGTCAACTGAAAAGATATTTTTATGAACAGAACACTTTGAAGGCTTTATAAAGAAAAATTTTAATGACATGTAAAGAAAAAAAAAAAAAAAACCAAAGCTTGGAAAACAAACTTAACGCATTTAGAAATTACTTCTCACAGGAGCCAAACACTTCACTCCAGACGTGGCTGCAGGCAGCACATATGTTCCAAAAATGACTTATGCAAATCACATGCTCTAGAATTCACCAAGAAAGTTCTCTATGTAGGAGAAAATTGCTACAAATCTTTTAGGAAACAGAAGATAAATACCTTCATAATTTGTGTTTTCACATATAGTGAAACTTTAATTCACTAGCACCCAAATCACCAAAACTTTTAACAATATTCAGAGCCCAATGAGAAATAAGCACTCTTGCCAGTTTTATCAGTTTAATAAAAGAAAGGTCAAACCAAGTCTAAATGCCCTATTGAAAAAGGAAGCTTTAACTATCTTAAGAATGACCTTATCATTAGGCTTGCTTTTTCCTAAGGTTTTTTCTTATTATCATCAATAACTTTCTTTGATTGGATAATACAACGTACAAAAATAATTCATTCTCAAGGATTTTGATCAACCAGGATATAAATTAAGATCAAGTAACAACTGAGGTTAAAAAGCACAAATCAGACACGGAAGAAAAAATTATTGCTATTCAATAATAACAAAGTTCCTAAACATCCATCTGTGTATTTGGAACCTTGTGACTTAGAAGCCACACAGGTCATGGGCTCCTGGGTTCTGACCAATCATCGCCTTTGTACAGGGGCCTTAACCATCAGCAGGTGCTTGGGCCCTACCAGATCAATGTAAAACACAGTAATGAGCTTTGCTCTACCTTGTGTGACTCATACTCATTCTGGAGGATCCTGGCTCCTGCCAGGCCCCCAGTCCGCCCTGTGCCACCTCCTTCCCTCAGGCAGGTGTTCAGATCAGCAGAGGTGACAGAGGCAGGAGGGCAGGAATCCTATCTCACTACCACAATAATAAAATATCGTTTTCTACAATTACCTTCATTTAAGTTATTTTTCAGGGCCAAAATTTGTTAACTACCTGAAAGTAGAAAGTCCAGGACAGGAACTGTAATCAGACTTCAAACAAAAGGCAGCAGCACGTGAGACACTCAGAACCCTCTGACTTGACTTTTCTTTTTTTTTTTTGAGACAGAGCCTCAAGCTGTCCCCCTGGGTAGAGTGCCGTGGCATTACAGCTCACAGCAACCTCCTCCTGGGCTCAAGCGAGTCTCCTGCCTCCGCCTCCCAAGTAGCTGGGACCACAGGCGCCCGCCACAACGCCCGGCTATTTTTTGGTTGCAGCCGTCATTGTTGTTTGGCGGGTCCAGGCTGGGGATTCGAACCCGCCACCTTAGGTGTACGTGGCTGGCGCCTTAGCCGGTTGAGCTATAGGCGCCGAGCCTGACTTGACTTTTCTTTGGAAACACAACTTGGGAGGGCTGCACACCCACCCAAGTCCATGCTTCCCTGGATGCCCACAATGCCCTTAGCCGAGCAGCACCTGCAGCCCTGCTGCTCAACCTTAACCTTAGATTGTAACTACAGAAGAATGGTAGTTGCTGTCCACCTGACATGACACAGGCCACACAGAGGAACACAGTGAGTATGGCTGTCCCCAAACCACCTGGAGACAGTGCATACAGAAAAGTTTTAAGTTGTCAGGAAATCAAAGTTAAAGTTTTGCAAATACTCACTGCTCACAAAATACTCACAATACACCTAGCATTAGAAACTCCATATGCTCAGCTTCCAACGAGCACCTGGGTAACATCCACACTACCCTCCACCCCTCCCTCCCCTGTGC